AGAAAAGCTCATGCAGCTGGCCTTTCATTCTTCATACAGATGCAAAAATTACACTTTAAGTGGAAAAAGAAGGAATGTGGATCTTTGTAAAGTGTCCAGTTGTGCAAAACCACGAGAGCGTGTCACAACAACACACTTCAATTACCCCCGAGTAGCTTACACAAACATGCGGCCCTGGTTTAGAGGTTCCCATAGAGAGGCAGCCAGTGAGCAGGGCCCCCGTTTACGAAGATGGCCTCAGAGAGCTCAGCCAGCCGCCCACTGAGGCGTGGAAGTGTTATTATAACGCCGGTGTCAAACCAGGGACAGTTTAGATAGCATGCAGAGATAAGTCTAATCTGCTGCTGGCCAAAAGACCCACTGCTGCACAGCAGACAGCGGCCTGGTATTATTAATGAAGATCAGCTCAACTCGCTCAATCAGAACCATCTCAGGTCAGGAGGTGACTTCAGGATCAGAGGCTCTTTTATAGGGTTGGAGCTTCCTTTATATGTCAAAAATTTCTATGAAATGATTAAAGCATTTTAAATCTAACCTGTTTTAGACAGATCACTGAGGAAAGTTTGAGGAAAATAGAGGTTTGGTGTTTAGTGGTGTTCTGCATCCACTCAAGTTCCCTAGAAATGTATCATGCGCTGAAATAAACGTACAGAAGGTTTGAACTACATCACCCAATACAAACCGTAAAACACTGCATCAGGCTTTCATACGGAGTGATTTTCAGACTATAACAAGGTGTCAAAACCAGAAAAAAAGTACAAGAATTCATGGATCAGTGCAATTTGACTCAGTTCACTTCCAAGGCGTTTCCATTCGTTAAGGGTCTTTTATTGTACTAGCTTCGCTTTAGTTTCAAGCATATGGGAGCTGGGCTTAAAACACCAAGTCACAGACCATCAGTCACAGGTTTGCGAGGGGGCGGAGTCACTGGTTGCTCCACAGTGTTCAACTTTGCTAACTGCTGCAGCCTTTTCCAGTTCTGCTTCGTTGGAGCCTTACCAAAAGCCTCAGACCTAGCAGAAATCTCGACATCGCTACCATTTTCTCTATTGTTGTGTTTTCTTTTATTTATTTTTTTGTTACGTACGAATCACCTTGTGCTACTGTTTGAACTTGAAGGGTCCGCTACGCTGTGATGATGAGCCCACATACTAGAACTGTTTCTCAGTTGCTGAGTGATGGAAAATGTCTATTTCTATTCTCAACAAGTACGGTGCTTATGAGGACCCGTCCAAAATCGACTCCTTCCAGTGGCGACAACCCATAACTACACCCTGGTTCTGTTAAACCAGAAGAGAACATTTTAGCCTCCATATCTCAGTGAAGCTGGGGAAAAAAATCCTAATATTTGTCTTTGTCCTCTTGGGAATATTAAAATGATGGAGGAGGAGAAAGACCAAATTTTTTAAGTTAAAATAGTTACTCAGTAGTGTAGCGTCCGGAAATGGTCAGTTTTTCATCTACAGTTCGACCTCTTCAGTATCCCGTCATATGGAGACAGGAGTCTACATTTGTTGCCTTTAATCTGCTGGACTCTGCTATTCCATCAGCTGAAGTCCAGGCCTCTGCAGCTTTGCACAGTGTTCTCGTTTCAAGGCCTTAAGCTTCCCCTTATCGCTTGTACAGGATTCCTCCTGCCTCTGAATAAAAGTGAACATTTTTAGCTCGTATGAGTTAATTAATCATGAAATGAAATGAAAAATATGGTTAAATGAAATGTTTTGAGTAATCCATGCTTAAATTAATAAGGTTGATTAATCTGTGCCTAAGTTAATAAGGTTGAAATGAATAGTGTCCTGCAATGATCCATTTGTCTGATAATCAGTCTACGTGACGAGCTAATCAGCCATACACTCATACACAAGGTTAAAGTAATTTCATGACACAGATATTTTCTTATCCTTAAATCAGAGCATCCTGTATCTGGGAAAGGTGTGGTTCTGAGGTTTGTTTGTTAACACCTCTTTACATGTCAAGTCCTGGTTGGCCATACCATCATAACATGAGAATAATTAAAACAGAACTCACTTCCTGAGTGATTCAGTTCAAGCTCAGTTCAAGCTCAGTTCAGTTCAAGTACACCTTCGGAGTGGCCAATCCTGAAGGGACTTTGAACTATAAAAGCTTTCGACAAGCCAAAAGCTGCCTGCAGCGACACAGAAACTTGCTCCTTCAGCTATTCAGAAACAACCGTTCTAGACGCAAACGCTTTTATCTATCTGTTGTGACTCGGGAGACATCCTAGGACTGACTTGGCCGCATTGAGGTTTTCCTACGAGCCACGTACATTTGCGTTCACCGACTCCTCAACGTCTCGGATCCAAACGCGGTCTCCAGGAACGGGTACGTAGGCATGACATGAATTGCGTCTGATGTTGTTTTATAAACCATCCCTTATAGTTTAATGCAGACCAAATTCTGTTCACACCCAGAACATAGCTTCTTCTAGATACAAGGTTCTGATAAACATCACACACCATTCCATGATCATACATCACATTCCATCCACTTATATTCATCCATCACATTCGTCTTATTTATAACTTGTCTTGTTTTTAATTTGTTTAGAAAATAATTTTCCTACTTTTTATAAACTTGACTGTCTGAATTAAAGTGACAGTGTGCATTTTTCCTGGCAATGGGGGTCGGTATATACCTACATCGTTGCAAGCAAGCAGTACTTTTGTTGTTGGAGTAAGACCTTACCAATGGATGCTCATTAGGGTCAAAACGTCCTGTGGAGTGCAAACTTTGGCAAAACGACAAGTACATCAGACTCCCTTTCATCACTGGCAACAAGTGAAGAGGTAAATGTGTAAAATAACAACATTTAAAAATGACAAAAATTTTGTAACTGTTAGAAATCAGTAAATGCATTTTGTCCTCAAGGGCTCCCGTAGAAGGAAACATGGCATCTAATATGGCGTCGCCCAGAGACTTAATTTAGACCTGATTTTTATGGTTTTATGTTACAAAGCCACCAATATTTTTCAACTACTGGGCATCTTTTCATTCATTTTAACAACATTTTGATGGATGTTTCCAGAAATGAATGGTAAAAACTACACATTGCCTCTTTAATACGAAGTGTGTTATGATCACTGAAAAAGCAAAGAATCCTGATTCTTCTGATTAAACATTCAAAGACCAATCAGGTTGATACCCTATATCTATATAGAATATCACATCTTATTGGTCATAAGTAAAGGTAATATATTAAGCTTAAAAGCAACAATATTATACCCTCATTACTGTAGAAACACTTGCTGCATTTTTTATTTCAAAATAAAACACTACGACATTTTGGGGCTTAGCAAAAGGGAAACTTGCTCTAACAGTCTTCTGCTATTAATATTTCACAGAAAAACCCAATTCAGACTGTATTCATGTAACATTGTTAAACACATTGTCATTTGGAGTCAAAGTGCTAAGCCCAGATAGCAATAGCATCACAAACTCAACTTTTATTGTCTTAATATGAATGAAAAAGGGAATTAATGCCCTCCAGTTGCAACAAGCTGGAACTACACTCTGGTTCTTAAAAAAAATAGAAGAAAACATTTTAGCCTCCTTCTCACAATGTAGCTAGAAAAACATGTTTTTGATCTCTTGGGAATATTAATTTAACGGGAATTGAATTTTCCTTGAAGCTACTTTTAAAATTACTTTTAAAATTTCAAACAGGAAGTGTTGAACAGGATGCACTACATGTGTGTTCCATTAGTTCAGCTGAACATATAAATATAAACATGTAAAATTAGCTTATGAAATAGAGTTTACATGAACTAATGTGACATTTTGAAGATTAGAGCTATTTTAAGATAGAGCAAACCCTCTTTGGAGCTAGCCGTTAACTTGTTAGCTTTGTTAGCTTGTTAGCTCTACTACTTCAAATTGATTTGGAAGTTTCCTACAAAAGGTAAAATATCAGTTGTTGATAAAACTGTTATTTTCTCCTTTAAAAACGTACCACAGCTAGTTTTTTTCACACTGTCATTATGACTTTTTAGATATGTTATTTTTACCACTTGTTGACTAATAAGAGCGAGGCTAATCTACTTCAAGCAAACGTTTTAAACAACTGTTTATGACCTCTGGGTGACAAAGTAACAGGTGATAAATTACTTCTCATAAATCAGAGATTGAAACCCAAATGTCAGCAAGCATCCGCCCTTCTGGGGGCTTAAGGAGAGCAAGACAGAGACAGAGAGTCCCTGCCGGCTTTAGGGGCGCTAATCACCCTCACCTGTGACCTCTGACTTCTACCTGAAAGAATTGCCTCAAGGAGATTAATAACTTTTTTTTTTATCACGTTGTTATCCACCAATCTCAAGGCCTATTTCCTGAACTGATCCATTTTCAGCACCAATTGTCACTCAAATAAACCTAAATAACTGCATTCTGTAAATCACAACCTACAGCCATTTAAACAGATGCGGGCCGTTCTAATTTGAGGGGATTCGTGGCGTTACATTCCACAGGAGGAAAAACAGAAGCGCATTCCTCTGAAAACCACACCTTGCTGGATTTGACAAACTAAAGACTGGACCCAGATCCTGCTGGGTTTTGGACTGGGTCATGCATCTCTGTGGGAGCACGACCCAGCTGCATGGTACCGCAGCTTTCATCTCTGCAAGCTTTTAAAAAGGGAGGGGGCAAAACCAGACTGCATGGGATCTGTCATGAGATTAGAAAGATGACATTATGGTCTGAGTGAAAATAAGACTGCAGGGATGATTTCCTTTGTTCAGTGCAATTAAATTTGAGCATGTGCTTGTATTTCATTGTTTACAGAGGACCGGCCATGCATCAACACACGGTGTGCAACAGAAGGTTGACATTAGTGCTGGTGTGTTGAACATTTTATTATGTGCATTTTAGCTCTGTCATTTCTCTTGTTTGATCTGGCCTGTGTTTATCAGCATGCTCGAGGACTCCTGGAGTCTGTGGACACTTACCAGGGTTTGACTGGCTCGCGGTGGGACTCCGCTCGGGTGGGGCAGGCTGAACCCTGTTAAAAGCTTTGTGTAGCAATAAGAAATGTGTGGATTGAACAAGAAAAGAGAAGAAAGAAGGCAGAAATGAGCTTTGGTTCTGGACTTCCATCGTCAAATGCAGCCCAGCTGTTTTGCTCTGAGGGACGTTGAAGGCATTTTCTCCACAGCGTGACATCATAAACACAAAGGCCATACGATGGGCATGTTTACAAGCCCTAAATCTGCTTCATTTGACTCTTTTCATCTCGTAAAATGAAAATATGACTGAAGGGATGTTTCCTGATGACAGAAAACAGCAGTTGTCTTAGAGAGAAATGTTAGCGGAGATGGCTGATGGAGCAGATTAGTGGTGACCCCGGGGTGAAGATGGGTGTGAACACTGAGGTCAGACTTACAACAGTTTCCTGGATTCTCATTTCAACAGACATCTGTCCTCCCGTGCTGCCCTTGACCCACATTCCTACCTGGTTCCTAACTGTGTGTGTCTGTACTGATGACGAGGCTGACCTGGACCAACTGGAGAGGAGGGCTGCCTCCTGATGGCTGACCCCGCTTCTGGCCTGCGCAGACCTAGAACCAAGGTAGAGTTTTAGGTGTGTTTTTGCTTAAAAAGTTAAGGAAACACAGATCAGAACTCAGTAAAAAACAAAACTGCTGCTGTATATCCATCCTGACATGAAATGGGTAATGTGTTCGGAACAAACGGATGGCGTTTAAGTCAAATGAAATGCATCCACCTACAAAGGCTTTAGTTTAAAGTAAAAAAAAGAATCAGAGGCTGAAAAACAAAGGCCTATTGCTTAAATGTCATTCCAGCAACTCAAAATGGTACCCAGTAGTTTGTATGCAACAACGTTGGGGTGTGCTTCTTATGAGCTGGCATATGGTGACCTGGGGCATCTCCTCCAAGATTCTGACATGGGCATCACTGCGACCTGGCAGCATCAGATAGATCTAAACACAACATCCCAGAGATGTGCTGCTGGGTTTAGATCAGGTGAATGTGAAGATCAGTGAATGGTATGAATTTCTTCATCCTCCAGGAGACATCTGCTTACATGTGTCACATGTACCAGGAGGAATCTAGGACCCACACCAGCAAAGGGTCTTACAACGAGTCTAGGGATGACATCATCTATTCAAGTAATGGAAGTCAAGAGACCATCATCTATCCCGTGCAGGTCTGTGTGCATCCCTCTGTGGACACGTCTCTTCAGACTAATACTGATATGCAGTCAAGGTTTTCTGTACCTCGCAGTGATAACAGGCCAGGCCAGGTCAGAGACATTCACACCAGTGGACCTCAGGAGGTCATTTTGAAAGGCTCTGGCAGGACTCATCCTGTTCATCCTTGCACAAACGGCCCATTTACACTACAATCAGCTTGGTCTGGGCCAGCTTGGGTCAGTGAGCTGTGAGCTGTTTGTGTGGAGCCGGCCACTTTTTCCTGCACTGCCTTCCTACGACCCTACACACCCATCTTCAGGGCAGCAGTAGCTCAGGTGGTAGAGCGGGTTGCCTCATGATCGGAGGGTCATGGGTTCGATTCCAGCTTCCACCAGAGGTCTGTCCTTGGGCAAGACATTTCACCCAACTTGCCTGTGTTGGTGGTGGTCAGAGGGACCGACGGCGCCAAATGCCAGCCTCGCCTCTGTCAGACCTCCCCGGGGCGGCTGTGGCTACGTAGTAGCTTATCATCACTGGCAATGTGTGAATGTAAGAGTTCATGCAAGCGTCTTTGAGTGTCCTAATAAAGCGCTATATAAGTTCCATGATTATTATTATCGTCTATGAACTGACTGGCTGGCTAAAGTTTTGTCAGTCTCACGCCTACCCACTAGAGGGAGCCAGCGGCTGCTTCTTGCTTGAGCGATTCACTAGGAATCTGGAAGCAGTGGGGTAAACATCTTTTCTGACTGCAGCTCAGACCGGAGCAGCAGCGCGAGGACTGACCCTTTGCCATGAGCGCTATTGGATGGGAGAGGAGCCCACAGCAGCACTGCTGCTCAGTGAGAAGAGAAGGAAGCTGTGTGCTTCATGACAGAGTCTCCCAAAGCAACACTGCTCACGCCTGCTCTTGTTTACTAACTTATGGCGGTTAGGAAGGACAGCCCAGACTTCTCCGCACCACTTGAGCAGGACATGCCCAAATCCACGTCCACAGGCGGACTGTTCCCAGACCGAGCTGACCAAAGTGTAAATATGCCAAAAGTAGCAGATACCGGTTCTACTGATAGGTTAAGGACCTTTGATGTCCCGGTCCAGCTCTTCAAGAGTAACTGCCTAGCTCCCTGAGTCTTCTTCATGCTCTTGAGACTGTTCTGGAAGGCACAGCGAACATTTTGCAATGGTATCTATTGATGCACCACTCTGGTGAAGTAGCCTTTGCAACATTTGTAGGGTTCTGGTATTGCCTCAAGCTACCCGTGGTGACACTGGCCCAAATGAGTTAACAGACTTTGTCAAAATAACAAAAATAGCTTTAATAACTGCTGGAAATCAACCTTGTCGGGGTTCTATAACTCTGGGAAACAGCCTATGTTTGATCTGAGCCTGAGCACGCCTGTGTAGACCGTGATGTATAGATACTGTTTATATGTTACAGGCTTCTGATTTTCATTGCACCTTGCACACTGGTTAATTAATAATGAAACAAGCTGATTGCACCTGTGTTTAAGCATCAGTCCGACACCAGGGAACCTCATGCTCCCTTAAGTGTTAACTCTGATAGAAGCCAAGCAGCTGTGCACGTACAAACCAGAGATGCTAAGCAGAGTTTGCACGTCCGTATAAAAGAAAACGAAAAAGGAAATCAAATCAAACAAATAAATATAGATTCATTTACCTGCACTGGCACGTTGTGAGTACCGATTTGGATAGGGGCTTCCTCTGAATACTGAAGAAATGTTGCTGTTTATTTTAAAAAATATGTTCCAACAGCTGAATCTTTGATAGATTTATTTACATACCTTGGCTGGGATTCTTTGGCTGGCTGTTCGACGACTGTCCTGCACCAACCACACAGTTTGAGTCAATTTAAACACAAACTTTCAAACAGGAAATGCCTTTTTAGTCAGTATAAATCAAGTGGATTTCCTCCGTTTTCTTCTTTTTTGTGTGACAGTTAAATGTTTTACATCAGGAAATAATTTACTATTATTATTATTATTATTATTCCTTTATTTAACCGGTTTAAAAAAACCTCTTTGAGCTATCTAATTCATTTTCAAGAGTGACCTGGTCCATAAAGGCAGAATAAAGACTATACAAGAATATGCACACAATTAACATATTACAACAAAAGCACATGTTTGGACAATAAAATGATAAAATAACTAAATATTCAAGATTTAACAAAGTCAAACAAGATTTGATAATTAAAATTAGTTGTAGTTGCCCAAAGAGTCATTTCCTTCGTATTTTATTAAATTCGTTCTGAAGTTTTTCTTTCATTATGTATACAACGTATAGAACGCTGTATTGCCCATATTAGTTCTGACTGTATCAACATTAAAGCGCAGAACAAAGATAACCCGAGTAAATGCAAAATCCAGTTTTCCAACAATGATTTCATTTGTGCAAGGGAACAGAGCAATCTAAAGTCATCGCTCCCTTTGTTCAGCCATAAATTCATTGTGGAATTAATCCGGATTAATCCTATTTTCTGGAAACCTGAGTTTATTTCCACCATCCAGACCCAAACCTACATGTAGAAATAATAAATCCCTTCAATGGAACACCATCTGAGAACAGGAAGTAGGCTAAAACACCTCAAAAAACCATGCATATTTCCCAGGTCAAAAGAGATAAAATCCCAGAACAACAACTAAAGCCCTGCAGGTCTCACTGAAGAGGCTAAAGCGTAGGGCACACCGGAGACAGACGCACTGTGCCTGCGCCATCATTTTAAATAGAAGCCAGTATAGTTAATGAGAGTGGCTACACGAGGAGCGCCGTGCCGAGGCGGTGAAGATAGGCGCCAGTTCTATTTCCAGCTTTTTACAACATTGTGGAGTACTTTACAACAGACATTAAAACGCGGAACGACTTTATGGCACAAACCCAACCGCCGGCCCAAAGCTAACCGCAGTATCGATAACTTTAAAGTACTGTTGATCTTAAAATATTCTGATAAATAGTGTACTTACCCATTTTAATGAATTAGTCTCTCAAAACATGACTGCAAGTCTGATCACGTAAAAACAAAAGAGTCACTTTCCGCTTCCTGTTCTCAAGTCCCGCGTGATGTTGTGACTATTGCGCGACTTTCCAAGAACCGCTCAGCGGCGCGTCCTGCATGACCACTTGACGGCACGTCTGTCTCTGGTGTGCCCCAGGCTTAAAGGTGTAAAGTCCAGAAAGGGTCAATTTTGACCTATATATTGACCTACATAGTGACCGGTTATCTACAGAACTAATTCCACTATCTAGGTGGATTTTCTACTCCATCTTCTAACATCCAGAAGTTTCTGCAGTGCTTGTTGACGGTCCACGAAGACAAGACTGTCAAACCGGGTCTCCAAACAAAGGCTGTCCTCTTGTCTCGGACTGCTGGATTCCACACTCTGAATAAAAGTGAACTTTTACAACTCATAAGTTAAATAATCATGTGGTTGAATGAACCAGATGTTACATGAAATGTTTGAATAATCTGTGCCTAATTCGGAGAAGTTGAAATGAATGTTGTCTTTACAAAGATCCATCTTATGATATGTACTGTTTGGTTTAACAAGTTCATCATTATCTACACTCATACACGATGTTCATTAGATGCAAATTAAGGTTAAGGTCGCCTCACATAAAGTTTAAAGATTCTTTATCCACAGAACTAGAACAGCTTGTATCTGGAAGGTGTGGTTTTCTGAGGGATGTTTGGTAAAAGCCTACAAACATGTCCAATTCTGATTCCCAGAAATGATAACAAGTGGATTATTAAAACTAGGGTGACTTCCCGAGTTGTTCAGTTTCGAGCTGAACTCCGGAGTGGCGCATTCGGAACCAGCGTCCTTGAGACGTCTCTCTCTCTGACACACAGTCAAACCCGTTGGCACACTGCCAGCTGACACAGCCGGCTCCTTAAGAGCACATCCGTGTTAGACGCAACGAACCTTCCTGCCTGCTGTGACCTGGAAACATCTCGAGACCGGACTGGTCACACTGCGGTTATTCTACGAACTTCGGTGCCTTGAGGTCCACCAGACTTCCTGATATTCCGGATCTGACCGGGGGTCTCAGATCAGGGTTTGTAGACACAACAGATTGGGTCTGATGTTCGTCGTCGTCGTCGTCTTCCTCCGCTTATCCGGGTCCGGGTCGCGGGGGCAGCATCCCAACTAGGGAGCTCCAGGCCGTCCTCTCCCCGGCCTTGTCCACCAGCTCCTCCGGCAGGACCCCAAGGCGTTCCCGGACCAGATTGGAGATGTAACTTCTCCAACGTGTCCTGGGTCGACCCGGGGGCCTTCTGCCGGCAGGACATGCCCGAAACACCTCCCCGGGGAGGCGTCCAGGAGGCATCCTGACCAGATGCCCAAACCACCTCAACTGGCTCCTTTCGATCCGGAGGAGCAGCGGTTCTACTCCGAGTCCCTCCCGAATGTCCGAGCTCCTCACCCTATCTCTAAGGCTGAGCCCAGCCACCCTACGGAGGAAACTCATTTCGGCCGCTTGTATCCGCGATCTCGTTCTTTCGGTCATTACCCAAAGCTCATGACCATAGGTGAGGATTGGGACGTAGATCGACCGGTAAATCGAGAGCCTGGCTTTCTGGCTCAGCTCCCTCTTCCCCACGACAGATCGGCTCAGCGTCCGCATCACTGCAGACGCCGAACCAATCCGCCTGTCGATCTCCCGATCCCTCCTACCCTCACTCGTGAACAAGACCCCGAGATACTTAAACTCCTCCACTTGAGGTAGGACCTCTCCCCCGACCCGGAGGTGGCAAGCCACCCTTTTCCGGTCGAGAACCATGGTCTCAGATTTGGAGGTGCTGATCCTCATCCCAGCCGCTTCACATTCGGCCGCGAACCTACCCAGCAAGAGCTGAAGGTCAGAGCTGGATGAAGCTAGGAGGACCACATCATCCGCAAAAAGCAGAGACGAGATTCTCCTGCCACCAAACTCGACACACTCCACACCACGGCTGCGTCTAGAAATTCTGTCCATAAAAGTGATGAACAGAACCGGTGACAAAGGGCAGCCCTGGCGGAGTCCAACCCTCACTGGGAACAGGTCCGACTTACTACCGGCTATGCGGACCAAACTCACGCTCCTCTGGTAAAGGGACTGAATGGCCCTTAACAGAAAGCCACCCACCCCATACTCCTGGAGCGTCCCCCACAGGGTGCCCCTGGGGACACGGTCATAAGCCTTCTCCAAATCCACAAAGCACATGTGGATTGGTTGGGCAAACTCCCATGCCCCCTCCATCACCCTTGCAAGGGTATAGAGCTGGTCCACAGTTCCACGGCCAGGACGAAAACCACATTGCTCCTCCTCTATCTGAGATTCAACTATCGATCGGACCCTCCTCTCCAGTACCTTGGCGTAGACCTTTCCAGGGAGGCTGAGGAGTGTGATCCCCCTATAGTTGGAACACACCCTCAGGTCACCCTTCTTAAAGATGGGGACCACCACCCCGGTCTGCCACTCCCTAGGAACTGCCCCCGATGACCACGCAATGTTGTAGAGACGTGTCAACCATGACAGCCCTACAACATCCATAGCCTTGAGATACCCAGGACGAACCTCATCCGCCCCCGGGGCTCCGCCGCTGTGTAGTTGTTTGACTACCTCAGCAACTTCTGCCCCCGAGATCGGACAGTCCATCCCCAGGCCTCCCAGCTCTGGTTCCTCCTCGGAATGCGCATTGGTGGGATTGAGGAGCTCCTCAAAGTATTCCTTCCACCGTCCGACTATAGCCTCAGTTGACGTCAGCAGCTCCCCATCCCCACTGTAAACAGTGTGAGCGAGTTGCTGCCTTCCTCTCCTGAGGCGCCGGACAGTTTGCCAGAACCTCTTTGGAGCCGATCGATAGTCTTTCTCCATGGCCTCACCAAACTCCTCCCACGCCCGAGATTTTGCCTCGGCAACTGCCACTGCTGCACCCCGCTTGGCTATCCGGTACCTGTCTGCTGCCTCCGGAGACCCACAGACCAGCCACGCCCTGTAGGCCTCCTTCTTCAGCCTGACGGCTCCCCGAACCTCTGGTGTCCACCAGCGGGTACGGGGGTTGCCACCACGACTGGCACCGGCCACCTTACGACCACAGCTAGCAACAGCCGCCTCGACAATCGCAGAGTGGAACAAGGCCCACTCGGACTCAATGTCCCCCACTGCTCTCGGGACGTGGTCAAAGCTCTGCCGGAGGTGGGAGTTGAAGACCGTCTTGACAGGTTCTTCTGCCAGGCGTTCCCAGCAGACTCTCACTATGCGTTTGGGTCTGCCAGGTCTACGCGGCATGTTCCCTTGCCATCTGATCCAACTCACCACCAGGTGGTGATCAGTTGACAGCTCCGCCCCTCTCTTCACTCGGGTGTCCAAAACATACGGCCGCAGGTCAGATGATACGACTACAAAATCTATCATCGACCTGTGACCTAGGCTGCCCTGGTACCAAGTGTACCGGTGGGCATCCTTATGTTCGAACATGGTGTTCGTTATGGCCAAACTGCGGCTTGCACAGAAGTCCAATAACAAAACACCGCTCGAGTTCTGATCAGGTGGGCCGTTCCTCCCAATCACACCCCTCCAGGTCAAGCTGTCATTGCCCACGTGAGCATTGAAGTCCCCCAGCAGGACAATGGAGTCCCCTGATGGAGCACTATCTAGCACTCGTCCCAGGGACTCCAAAAAGGGTGGGTACTCTGAACTGATATTTGGCCCATAAGCACAAACAACAGTCAGGACCCGTTCCCCGACCCGAAGGCGCAAGGAAGCTACCCTCTTGTCCCCCGGGGTAAACCCCAACACACAGGCAGAGAGTCTCGGGGCTAACAAAAAGCCAACCCCAGCCCTCCGCCTCTCACCCGGAGCAACTCCAGCAAAGTAGAGTGTCCAACCCCTCTCCAGGTCTCGGGTTCCAGAGCCAATGCAATGTGTCGAGGTGAGTCCGACTATATCTAGCCGGTACCGCTCAACCTCTGCCACAAGCTCCGGCTCCTTCCCCGCCAGCGAGGTGACGTTCCATGTCCCAAAAACTAGTTTTCTTGTCCGGGGATTGGACCGCCAAGGCTCCCGCCTTGGTCTGCCACCCGATTCACATTGCACCGGACCCTTCATGTTCCTCCTGCAGGTGGTGGGTCCACAGTTGGACGAGCCCATGTATCCGGTTCGGGCTGGGCCCGGCCGGGCCCCATGGGCGAAAGCCCGGCCACCAGGCGCTCGCTCACGGGCCCCAACCCCAGGCCTGGCTCCAGGGTGGGACCCCGGAAACCCTCCGGGCCGGGTACTCCGACTCTTCGTTTTCACCGCCATGAAAGATCCTTCGAACCGTTCTTTGTCTCACCCTTCACCTAAGACCAATTTGTCATGGGAGACCCTACCAGGGGCACTAAGTGCCCCAGACAACATAGCTCCTAGGATCATTAGGGCACTCAAACTCCTCCACCACGATAAGGTGACGGTTCAAGGAGGAGGGGTCTGATGTTGTTTTATGAATAATCAACTCTCTAGTTTATAGCAGACAACAAATTATTTTACACCCAGAATTCACAATCTCTTTCAGGTACAAAGGTTCTGATACGCATCTACTTCACACCACACCACCTACAACTCACACTCCATCACCGCCTATACACTCCATCACATGTCATTATTCATAGCTTGTCATGTTTTATAATTAGTTTAGAAAAGAATAAAATTCCTTTTAACTACAGTGTATACTGGACTCTGCCTGAATTAATACGAAGTGTGTTTATGATCCCTGAACAAGCGAAGAATCCTAAACTCTTCTGGTTAAACATTCAAAGATCAGTCAGGTTGATATTTCATTTTATATGGAATCATCACATCTTATTGGTCATAATTAAATATGCAGTCGTTACGCTATAAAGTGCAACGCTACAAGGGTCAAATACCAACATTCAACAAAGAGAAAGAGATATGGGAGGAAGAGCAGAATCCCGTTCCATGTAGAGAAAAACTAACACTAACAGTCAGACACGGGGGTGGTAGTGTGAGGGTCTGGGATGGCTCTGCTACTTCAGGACCTGGACCATCAGCTGTAACTGATGGAACCATGAATTCTGCTCTCTAGCAGAACATCCTGAAGAACGGCATTTTCGACACCCCCCAGTGTCTACTTTAATTCATTGTGGTATAAGCAAACGGATTTCCCCTCTCCCTTGCAGTTCGCTAGTGTTTTCAAACAGGCTGATCGCTTTTTAAAGTCATATTTATAAGCACAATAGTATAATTGCGAGTTCTGGATCCACTTTGAATCCTTCTTTGTTTCCGAGCTCTTGTCATAGAAAACGCTTTCCCGACGTCGACTTTTGTTTGACCTCTTTTTCTCTTTTTGTTTCTTCAGAGGCTCCGCCATGATGAACACGATACAATAAACACCAAGTGCTGCTAGCGTGTCTGTTCCGAGGTGTAAACGTGGATTACCGTAAAGTGTCACTGCTTCTCGTGAAATACGTGACTTTGCGAGACTTCAGGTCTCTGGTCCAGGGCGGCTCAAGTTACAAACGCGGTATTCTGCCTACAAGGAGCGGAGGGGGCTGAGAGATTATTCATTCACCCTGTGAAGGGTCATTTTAGAAACTAGTGGCTCAAGAAAATGATGAAAAAACATGACAGTTACTTAGTGTACCTTTAAACAGGTTACTGATGTTGGAAACCCTAAATATGGCTGAAATTCAAACAATTCTCTAAGGAAAGTGGACGTGAGAGACCCGCTAACAGTACTCACAAACACTTGAGTCAGTGGTTTCTGTTGTGGGTGAAACATTTAAATGTGACAGCAAAAAGAAATCTGTAAAGCGGTAAATACTTTTTCCACAGCTTGGTTCCCACATGAACCAAAGCCGAGACATCCCTCAAGGCTTCGGAAAAGTAGCTTTTTGTTTGTCTTGACTTACTTGAACTTGTGGCAGCCACATGAGCAAGGTACGGGTGACTGCTGCCTAGATAGAAAAAAGACATATCGGGTGCCAGCTTGGAGAAAAGCGTTAGGAATAAGGAAAAGGAGGGAAATGCTTGGAAGATTATTCAGCACCAGGCACATCTCATGTGAAGGCATACCTTCTGATACCGTGGCACTGTCTGCTCACTGAGGCGGACCAGCTGTAATTTTTCATAACTGCTGTTGTAACTAGTTGTAATTACCAGCTGAAATAGTTCATCTTCATCGCTCGGTTTTACAGAAAAGAAAGCTTGTTCTGGCAGGCTTCTGGCCTAATTACAAGCTGCAAGTTCTGCAAGATGTCAGCTAGACGTGCATCAGCTGGATGAGATTCGTGCATATTTAAGGGTGTGCTTGCTTCGCTCACCTGCATCCCTGGTTTTGTGGGCAGCAGCTCGAGCTTTGGTGGTAGTGGTCGGACGCGTAGTGGTTGTGGGAGCCGGTGTGGTGGTGGGTTCAGGAGTCGTGGTGGGGACGTCGGGCGTTGTTGTGGTAGGCGGCAGCGTGGTGACCGATTTACCCTCGTTTTGACCTGAAAAGAGTCGAGACATGAAAACAGCCACTTATGGAACGGTGGACAGGGGAGGAAGAGCCTCGACAGTAACCTCTGTGTTGTCATGCATTCCTGTCATTCTTAGCAGAACGCAGCAATCCAAATCCTCATCCTAGCTGAGCGAACCTCAGCATGCCGGAGGATGTTGACTCAGAAACCTTATATTCAAAGAACACAGCGGTGGCGGGACGACTAAAACCTACCAAAACCAGTCTTGAACTCAAATGTTCTGATTATACATGATAATATCACAATAAACCGATCAGTGTTGGGAAATGATAAATATACAATCAATCAATCAATCAATCAATCAATCAATCAATCAATCAATCAATCAAAGCTTTATTTATAAAGCGCCTTCCGCAACCCTGTCAGGAAGCCCAAGGCGCTGAACATGGTACAGTAGAAAATATATTGAATAAATAAAAATAGCAAATCAAATTACAAAAAAAGGCGAAACATTCTGGTACAGGACAAATGTGTAAAACAATGGATAGAGTGAACCAATATATGGCAGTTTTGGTCACATTTTGTTGATTAATCTTGTGGGATCCGTCGGTATTTACACTATCATTCTTGGCTAACACATCAAAATCTGAGCTCAATATCTGTAAAATGGACAGAGTTGCTAATCCTAATCAGCTGCGGGGGTGGACTGACCCATCTGGCGTTCTGGCACTGTCCCGGTGGGCCGCTTAGCCAAGTGGGCTGCTTGCCCAGCTTGGGCCGACACTACTCCACAGTTGGTGATCTGCACAACATTAGCTACATGGTAACCCAAAGCTAACAGAGTTTTCCAGGTGTTTTTAGCAAGAAAAACGCGGTAGAGCGATGACGTAGGAGTTGTTTTACCGCGTTAGCATGTAGCTAATGTCCCGCTGATCTCCGCCCGTGGAGAAGGGGCTGATCTGGAAGGTCAGGGCTCCCGGTCGGTCGCAGCGATCTGGCCCTGCTTGTAATTTAACAGTCCCAGTCCATATTAGATCTCACATTCGGCCTAGAGACGAGTCCGTGGGCGGCAGCACCCCCCACCCCCACCCCCCTACCAATGGAGAGGGCCGACTGAGGGCTGATGACTTGTAAAAATGCCAGGGCCGAATTTTGGTCCCAGTCCACCCCAGATCAGCTGTCACCTGGAATTTGATCAACTCCAGATGTTAACCAGCTGTAGATTCACATCCAGCAAAGATCTTTTGCTAACAGAAAATCCAACAAACACACAAAGACCGTTTGGCTTTATGGTGGATGATGATAATCCGAATAAAGTGCCAAATGTACCCGATCATGCGTTTGTATCAACAGAGAAAGTGGTAAAGAACATAAAAATATGAATGTTAGAGTTTAAGTCTCCTACTTGTTTTCACGTAGGTTGGTCTAGAAGGAACATAGTCCAGAGTTGAGGGGTAGATGACGTCTTTCTTAGGTTTCCCCACTGAAACCCAACCAAGTAAGATTTATTGTTGGGGAAATTAATGATGAATAGTAAATATTCTGATTCTCTTTTCCATCCTCAATACCTGAGACAACGAACGACTCCCTCCACTTGGGCAGAGACAGCGAGCGCACCCCGTTGGAGTTGCTGCCTTTGTAGATGTTCTGCCCCGCCATCTTCCTCACGATTACCTTCCCTCCTGTGTTTGTGATGACTCCACTGTAGTGACAAACAATGGAAAGGATATAAAACCTTTACAGGACAGTGCTGAATGAGATTTATTCTCCGGTCGTCACACCCATGGATGGCTGCATTACAGATGCTGGAGATGGAGGCGAACACGCCCGTCCCGTAGACTTGCTGCCGTGTTTCCTTACAGTGAGCAGGACACCTGGCGATGAACTCGGGGAGGTTTATCTTCCCCGCTCTGACGTCGCAATCTATATCTGGAACGACTGAACAGAGGAAAGGACAGTGTAACGTCCTTCATGGACTCCAGAGTTACAGTGCTACCATAAAGTTTGCATTCGCTGAGGGGTATCTCATTTATTTGGCTTCATGCTCTTTCACCAAATTGAGATTTGAAGCAAGGGTTCTCCAAGTCTAAAAACTCTAGTTTCAGCTTTTAAACAGCTAATAAGCAGTTTATGAAGCCAGTATAGTCACTGGTGATCTCATTTTCTGCCTCCTCTTTCCAACAGCTGGAATTGGATCCAAGGTATTCTTGTTTACAGAGTATTGCATGTTTGGAGTTTGTATACCTGTGACACGAGGCTAAAAGGTGCTTGTGAACTTACCCTCTAACTCACAGATCAACGGCTTGATCGAGCATATTTTAGTACCTGCATCCCTTCACAGGTGCAAGTTAAAAGGTTAACGTGAATCAAAACCTAAATATTTTACCTGATGTTTATTTAACAAGAGCAGGTCATGTGTGGGGAGGGCTTCGAGGACATTATGGACATTTCCTGGCTCAGACAGTTATTTTTCATGCAGAGTAACTAAAGAAGTCTTAAAACAAAACTGGTACAAGTTACTTTTTATCAAAAAAAGTAGTTCAGACATTGATAATTTCTCCCCTTTAAAGGGTTTAAAGTAGTTTAACAATTTTAAAGTAAATTAAAGCTCAACTTTGCTCTTATTTTCAAAACATTTACATTGGTCTCAGTGTTTCCCCTGGGAATTTTTCCAGCTGCGGGGGTGGGGGGTGGGTGGGGGAATTATGACACGTCTCACCTTCATGTTAATATTGTTTTATTTGATGCACTCCACTTTGGACTGCACCAATCCAGCAACTGCTGCATTTGAATAACTAGTATTAACAGTGAATACACCAATATTTGCACAAGAATAATTCTGTTTTAGGGTTGGGGGGGTGGGGTGGGGGGGATTATGACACTTCTCACCTTTATCTTAATATTTTTTTATTTGATGCACTCCACTTTGAACTGCACCAATCCAGCAACTGCTGCATTTGAATAACTAGTATTAACAGTGAATACACCAA